AGAATCACAGACTGACTGAGGTTGGAAAACACCTCCTAGATCATCAAGTCCAACCTTTGACAAATCCCCACCTTGTCAACCAGACCAGAGCCACATCCAATCATTTCCTGAACACTTCCAGGGATGGTGACTCCACCACCTCTCTGAGCAGCCCGTTCCAATTCCTGACCACCCCTTCACTGAAGAAATTCTTCCTGATGTCCAACCCAAACCTCCCCTGGCACAGCTTGAGGCTGTTTCCCTCATCCTGACTTCTTGTGACCTGGTCTACAGGTTGTCCTTGCTTGACCAGTGTGTGCAAAATGGAGCCAGTGAGTCTGATTCCAAGCTTTTGTGCCAGCTGTCCCAATGCTTATCAGTCCTGGCAACAATCACTTTCTTCTAGGCTGCCCTGGTTTAAGAGGGAACAGTCTTTATCCTGTTATAAGAATGCTGGATTAAGCTGTGATCAGAAACAAATTTGTGTGCTAGCATTTGAACTCTGTTTCCTTCTACATCCCTGGACTCTTCCATACTTTTTCAAACTTCATTTCAAAGACAATTAAGAATATAACACCAGGATGCAGCTTGCCAACTAATGCATTTCAGCACAGCTCTCTATACCTCTAGGGACTCTAGGTCACTGTACTGCCTGATACCCTCCAAATCTTTCTTTGACCCACTCTCTCCCCACTCAAAACATCCTGATTTTTCACTTCAAATGCACATTTTTCCAAAGCGAACTGCTGCACACATTGTGGATGAACAAAGTGTGTCATCTTGGCTTCTTTCTGAAATACCACAAGACCAGAAAATGAAGAGCAATTCATCTCAACTCCTTTCCTTCCAAAGCATCCTCCAAAGTATCCTATTCCTGTACTGTGAGCAGCATTCCACTCTTTTTTTCTCTTCATTTACACTATGATCATCATTTACATTTGAACCAGATAAATTCAAGTATAAGTCACACTAGAGATGCTGGAAAACTGTATCTTGTTCACAAAACAATTGCCTTGACAGTTTTCTCAGGAATGGTGACAGTGGGTCCATCCTTGTGGGTATGTCCTTTGGGCCAAATCTTCTGCAGCTATAAACTGATAGTTTTCCTGGGCTGATTTACTCCAGCTGGGGATCTGGCCCTGACAGTGTTCGTCATGCATGTCAGAAGGCTCAAATTCATCACAAATAGACAGCCCCTGCAAATAGAATGGCATGTCAAGGCTGGACATAGCCCCATTTTGGCTGGACGTGGGAGATAATCTTGCACTCAGATATTCACTTCTGCAGCAGCATGGTCCATCTATGCTGAAAATGCTCATGCTCTGACATTGCATTGAATCTAGTTTCAAATTTAGGAGCATGCCACCAATGCAGGAATCCCAAGGCTTCTGGTAAATGACATTTATAGTGACTATTGACTTAGGGCCTCTTAAAATACTCTTTCAAAGGCACAGAGAATGCAGCTTCATTGGTGATCTGGAAAAGGGTTGTCAAAATAGCAAGGCAAGGTTATGTGCCATTTGTACAGCTTCTATGAGAGCTTTGAAGAGTGTTTCATACAGCTTGCTGTGTTGTCTTTGAAACTGATGCTTTGCAAGTGACAGCAATTGGAATTATGTCACGAATGCCTCTGTCCCATGGGAACATGGGAAGTTATGCTTGTGTAGCCTCCTTTCTCTGTCCTTAATACCTCAGGGAGGTATGATAGAGATGAACCAAGTATACTTAAAACAGTGAAAATTCAACACAGAGTTTTCTAAAATAACCCTTTGCTGGAAGCTTCTATGAATTTCTTATATTTTATAAAATGCATCCCACAGACCAGTTCTAGTTCTTAGAGATCAACAACATTCAAGCTAAATGAGATAGAGTGCCTTTAAATATTTCTTTTCTTTTATATAAAGGCACCTGGGCATCAGGAGACTGGAGTGACTGATTCATTAAAAGTATGTAATTACATAGATGCACACTCACCCATCCCATGTCTATATATATTCAAATATTAATATTAAAGATGTACACATCTATATTGGGGGTAAGTCTAAACTAAACTCACAAAATGCCATTCAAAATCCTCACCCCCAAATCAGTTTTGCATTTGGGACCCATCTGTGATTTATCCTGTGGCCCTTCCCATGGGAAATTGATTGTAGGTCTTCATTTTGCCAACTAGTCCATGTGGGGAGACCCTGGGGAATCCCTTCAGAGACGGAGGGGCTCTGGGAACAGACAGTTCTCTTGTGTAGAAACAGTTGTGGAATTCACACGTTGGTGATCAAAACAGGTTGAAGACTTTACAGGACAGGACACAGTCTGAAGAGGGGGGTGCAGGCAGATGTTCAGATGGAGTGAACTGCCTGAAGCTCTGGTGAAGCAAAATCATCTGGTGATTTGGCCCATGATATGTAAACAGCTCACTACAAGAGGTTACTATCTGAGGTAAATAATATTTAGTAAATCACCTATGATTGATTAGACGGTTGCCCACAGCCATTCTGCATCTTCCAAAAACTTCCTTTGCACTCCAGCTTGCATTTTTCTCTGTACAGCACCAAAAGAGGCACACAGCCATTTAAAATTTGTACAGAGTAGAAGAGAAGCAGCATTGGATTACATATGCTATGTGATGAATCAAGTACAAATATTTTTATCCAAATATACACATAGATATAGAGATTCCTTTTTTTTTTTTTTTTTTTCCAATGACCAGTATAAATACTTTACCTGGGAGGTTATTCCCCATGTGCAAAACGAAACAGTTTGTCCTGGGATTTAATCTTCTGTTTTGCTGGCGCTCATATTCTTGGTAAGAAGTGGGTCACTGTCATGGCAGGAGAAACCTTGTTCCCTCTCTTCACCCTGCCATGTTTGCTCAGGGCTATGTAAGCGCCATGGTGAACATTGGATTCATATGCGTTGTAGTTATTGGGCAGCAAGGTTTCCTTGAATTTGCACTCATCTTGGAAAACAGCCTAAGGAACAGCAAGGGGAGGGGGTAGGGATACAAATCAGGTACAATCAATTTTCCACCAAGGCCCAGGTCATTTTTCTTTCTTGTGTTTTCACACCAGGGCTCGTTGCAGTGTGCGACAGGTGGTGCCGCAGCCACTGCGGCCAACAATAAATCTCCCTCCTCGGTGCTAATTTGGTGTCAGATGAACTCAGATGCCACCTGTCCAGAGAATAGACTGTGTATTTCCTGTGGTAGATCGAGTTAATTCATTATATATCATGGATTTCTTCATTTTATTTGCAAGTAATAATTTCTGTCAGCGTTGCACCCTCTCACCCAAACAACAGCTTTATTTAAGACCTCCCCTCTGCCAGAAGTTCCATCATTTATAAAAAAAAATTATATGCTGGCTGCTGAAACCTTCAGAGCTTTTCCAAACAGGAGTGTCCAGGGACAACTGCTTGCTTTAATAAGAGATTTGACTAGCAGTAAATAATTTCTTTCTTAAACCATTAGTAATATTTAACTATACAGCCGGTTCTAATCTGGGAAAATAGTTTTAATATCCTCCATGTCAAAACATGAAAATCTAAGGAGAGGGAATTATCTGGGAGAGGAGGTGCAAGGATAAGTAGGAGTCAAATGCAGAGGAAATTAAAAGAGAAAGCAGAATAATTCTCTGACTTCAAATGTCTGGCACATGAGATGCCTCCAATGCAGTTCTATTTGGGCAACGGTGTGATAATACCACCCAAAGCCTGTAAGAGTTTAACTTGCCTTGTGCTTTGCAAGGGAAAATGCACATCTCTTACAGCTTTTGGAAGTGTCTTTGAAGAGAAATAAAACTGTGTTGAAAGTGGAGGAAAAAAATCAAAGGGATTTCTGAAGCCAGACCCTGTACTTCTTTAGAAAGACCCAGCTAAGTAAAGCAGTTGGACTTGTGGCACTTTTTAGGTGCTTGTGATCACTTGTGATTGAAGGAATATTCCTGAAGTGGGACCTTAAAGTGTCCTACTGTCATTATGAGTGTGAGAGGGAATCAGGTTAGTAATGGCTACAAGTCCCTCACAACATTTGGCATTATTTTAAACCACTGCAATGCTTTGTTGAAATTACAGCTGTTCCAAAGGAAAGGACTCTGCTGCTTCTTGGCAAAAGAGGTTGATACAACCAGTGCCATTCATTACTTTGAGATGGGCTGATTTTACCTAGCCTCTTTCACATGCACTTTTTCTGCTGGATATTTCGACTGGGGATGCAGTTGCTCACATCTCAGAGGTTGAACTGCATTTAAATAGCAAATCATCTATATGAGGATGATGGTGTTTCAGTATGATTTGCATACCATTGTTAATAGGTATTATTTTCTCACCCTTTGCAACTGATCTCACAAAACTGATCATTAAAATAACCCCAGGCACACATGTTGACCTTGTAGGGTAGACTTCCTATTTATTCTTGATGGTGTGGGTTTTTTTGGTAGGAAGGAGCATGTGGTCATTATTTTACTAAGGGTAGCTGTTGGAAATAGCTATAATTGTGCCTCTCCTACACACAATGCAATGCAGGATGGAATCAATGGGGCTCAGCTTTGCTACAATGTGTTTGCAGCCCTGTGACCTTAGAAGAAGCCATCCAATTAATCTGTACTATTTGCAGAATATGTTCATTTTCCTAAAGTGTCCCCTGCACAGTCTTACAGGAAAGCTTTAAAATCCCAGCCCTGTAACAGCCATGCTGCTTGTTGCATTAAATAGCACTGATGACAGCAGGCTGGGCAGGCTCCCTGTAACAGGAGGGCTATTTTCTCTGCTTGTAATCAGCGATTTCCATAAGGAAAAGACTGAAACAAACAAAGCCAAAACAAACCAAACACAAACAAACAAAGCAAAACACTAAACCAAACCAAACCACTTCAAAACCCTTTTGTTTAAACTGTGGAAAGCTACTTGAATTTGTACTTACTGTTCCATACAACCTGCCTTTGCTGTTCATTGCAATGAAGAGAGCACTTTTCACACCAAGCAGACTTACAACACCTCTTTCTACAGTGGATATTTCAAAGAGACCTGAAAAACATGAAGTTTAATAGGAGTGTTATCACAGAATCTAGAGTTAACAGAAGGCAATTCAGATATCTTTTTTTTAAAAAACTAACAAACTTGTCATATATTCTTTATAAGAATTAACTCCTTAATGCAGCAAAATAAATATACACAGAGATGATCTTGGGTTTTCTAAAAGTCACAGGATTTGAAAATAATTATTCTAGAATTGTAGTCACATTCTGTATAAGCCTTTTGCTCTATAAAACTCTTTTGATCTGTCAAACTCTGGACCTTTTCAATAAGAAAATTATTTTTATGTAATATGCTATACTTAGAAAAGGTTTTTTACTGAGCCTTAAAGAAGTGTAGCTTGCATTTTGAAGTCCCACATGACATTGCTGCAAAAGATTATAGCAACTGCCCTCTACAGGAAATTCAAACCCACATGACTAATGCTTTCCTTAATTCTTAGGGTAACAGAACAGCACCCACAAGAATGAACAAACCAGGACCAGCAAACCCCTTCCATAGGACACACGGAGTGTCCCAAAAATACTGGTCAGCTGGGATTCAAGAATCATGCTTTGGCACTCTTGACTCAGCAAAAACCTCCTGGATTCTAAAGGCAAATGAGAAGGTGAGGAGCAAGAAAATGCAGCAGAGTCAGTTTTCGATCTGGTTTGTCTTTTCTCATCTGTTCAGCAAAGCAGGTAAAAATGAATTCTATCTAAATTTGTCTAAGCATTTTGTGCCACATTTCAGCCCAAAGGGTTCTCATTTTTATTCATCCCAGAGACTTTAAAAGGCAACATATGTAGCACAGATTAATAATATCAAGTCATAACATTTGCACTCTGTGAAGGGTAATTACTAGAGTTCACAGCAATTAAGTGACATCTATTCTATTTCATTTCTGGATGCAACTCACTGTATTGGTTTTCATTGTGAACTCCGCTTATCCTTCCGTCTGGGAGGATTTGAAGGTGAAACCCGATGCCCACGTTGCAGTAAAGCCTCCGCTGCCTCTTGATTCCTAGCAAATAGTCACTCTCCCAGTTCACATCTGCCTTCTCCCCTGACATCCCAGCCATGGACCTGGACAGCAGAGATTGCCATCCTCTCTCCAGCAATGTGCCATTAGTTCTGCTTACAACTGGGTGTGTGGCAGCAATCCCGGCTAGCAAACCCAGGAGAAGGAACGCAGGCAACGTCCGGTGAGCGCTGGCGTCGCAGGACATAGTGATGAGAAGTCTTTGTGCCGTGGCCATCCGGTTCACCTCCTGGGCACGTGGTCAGAATTAATGGCCCTAAAAATACCGCCCTTCTTGTTTTTCTCCCTTCAGCATGGTGGCAGAGGCTTATTTTTGGAAAGCAAATAGAGCTTGCTGACCTGAAACTAAAGCCTGATAGCAGTTGGGTTGGGAGCAGAGACAGGCCAGTAGGACTCCAACTGGTGGGGACCATGGTTTGTAGATCCTGCTTCCCGCTGGGCAGCCTCCGTTATATTTGATTGAGCCATCTTTATAGTGCAGGGGCTGTCCCTGCCCACATCATCACTCTGACATCAACAGCCTGCCCAAGGTGAGGCTGCCAGGGCTGTAACACAAACCTGCGTCCTCCCTGCCTGCTGAGGTTGGAGTGCTGTCACCCAAGACTGGAGGCAGGAGTGGGATTTCATTGGCTGTGGGAAGCAAAGGAGTCAAATTGGTCAGGGAGTCAGAGGCCTCCCAGGCAGCTTCCTTATTTAGAGAAGAAGGTGTAAAAACAGTTCTGGACCTCATCAGTGAGCAATGAGAGGTTTGCAGCCGCTTCCTTGGTGGCACGATCGGCGGGTGCTTGTCAAGGCACCTCAATACTCGGGGACAATCAGCTTGTGGTGGCCACAGCTCTTTTTGTGCACACCCTGCAAAGCCAAGGCACCTCTAACTGAATGACCCACGTGCTAACCTCTGTCTGTACCTCTGCAGGGAGTGCTCCTGGCAGGCTGAAGGAGAGGTAAGCTGTGCAGCAGGGACAAATGCCCCAGCTCCTGCAGGTTTTATCCCCGTGGGAATTCTGCTGCACAGGCCACAGAGGCTGGGGCATTGATCTTGCAGTGACACGTAGATAGGAACATTAGATCTTCCTGGTTTTCACTGAGGTGACTTCCAGATGATCACATTTACCTGGGGAGGGTGTGTGCCTCCAGCAGGGGGGCAATTGTATTTGTAGGAGCAAGACAAGGACTTAGGTGATGTGTTAAAGATGAGGAAAAAGTGACATGGGTACAGCTTCCCAGTATTTCACTATCTCCTTTCCTCAAGCCCAAATACTCACTATTTCTGTAACTTACGACCATCTTAATTTGCATCCCCTTCCATTTGCTCAGACTGTCTTAATTATTTCCCCTCATCTTCCACTGAAGCTGTTTCAGTTCCTTTGGAGCTGGACAGATTAGACTCCTATCTCAATTAGTTTCACAGAACTTATCAAAACATAAGTCAGAAGAAAACAACTGAGATTCATACAAATATTTTTGTCAGTATGTCTGTCAGCTTCTCATAGCACAGGCCTGCATCTTCTGTGTCATTTGAGAAGCCTATTAATGAGGGGAGTACCTGGAAGCATAATTAAACTGAGCACACCCAGTGTGACAGAGTTTCACAGTAGCAGAAGTGCAATACGAGGCCTGGGACACTGCAGACTCCCCAGCAGGAGCCCCATGAGGTGAAGGGGAGCCCCTGGCAGCCCTGAGGCAGGTGAACAGTCATAGTCAGTGATGTATGTGAGTATTGATTACTCTCAGGAGACAGGCTCAGCTATAAAATAATTGGGAACCACAGGGCTAGGCTCTGGCTTGTGCCAGGTGACATTTCAAGGTCTCTGTGCCTTTGCTGAAGCTGAACTTGGACTGTCACAGAATCACAGAATAATCTGAGCTAGAATGGACCCACTAGGATCATGCAAGTCCAACGCCTGGCTCTGCACAGGACACCCCAAAAGTCTCACCACATGCCTGAGAACCTTGTCCAAGCACACCCTGAACTCTGGCTGGCTTAGGGTAGTGGCCAAAGGAAGGATATCTTTTGCTGATAAAGAAAATTCTCAAATCCTTTTCTCTCCTGCTTTCTACTTTATGTGATGATTTTTTTCATCTATATAAAGCACATGCATCATTTTTAGGAAGGAATAATAGTAGTATTTTACATCCTTTTATCATAGCTGCAGTCTTCATGAGAGGCCAGCATCTCTGGAAAACAAAGTCCAGGATCCCTGTTACAAGCATGGAGCACAAATTTCCCAGTTTTTCTTATGCTGTAGTCTGAAACCTGCCCATTCACAATGCATGTGACTTCTGGCAACACTGCCTGATCTCAGAGCCATCACTATCTGTAAAAACATGCATTGTAATATTTTCTTTCCTGTTTATTTTTCCCTCTGGAGAACTTTTCAAGTGTAATGGGTGCAGAGCTGGATTTCCATCCTCAGCTTTAGTCACCTTTGCGTCTTTATGTCTCATTCAGCAGGTTTCACAGAGCAAAGAGAAACCATGGGCTGAATGAGCTCCTCCAGCTTTTGCTGGCACATCTACCACTGTGGATTTCCCACAAGGTGTCCTGATGGCACAGGTTAAAGGAGCACTTTGTAATCCTACAAAGTGTCTCATCCCAGTACCCTTGATCCTAGAGGTAAAACCAAATGGTCAGACACAAAACAAACAAAGATAATTTCTGACAAGTCTATGGGATGCATTGGTTTATCTTTTAGTCAGTCCATCTGGAAAGTGACTGCTGAGGGCTGTGGTGACCCAGAAGACAGCCTTGCTCCAACAGTTTCCTGCTGAGCAAGTCCATCTGACAGCATTCTGTATGGAAAGGGTGCACAGATTACTTGCTTGCAAAAAATCAGGACTTTTCTTGCCTGATCTGTAAACCAAACCAAATAACTAAAATTTGTGATTTCACTGGGACACCTGGTCCTCTTAAGACCAGGAGTCCTGGTGTCTGGCTCCAGATCAAGTGTGTGCAGCTGGGAGATGTACTTGTACTTGTACAGTCTTGTACTGCTCAGCAATTCTGCATCAGAATTGAAATTAGTCTTGAACCCTTCTCCAGCTAGATCTGTGGCCAGCAGGTTGCTGAGTTTCTGTGTATTAGCATTTGAACCTCCAAGCAAATTCTTGAGCTTCTGATTCAATTAGGCAAGCCTTGTTTGCTCTAAAAGCTGTCTCATTCTGCTTAAACTTGTCCTCTTGGCCCATGAAGTGACTATTTCCAGAAAACACACTGTAACCTTCTGATTTTCAGGTAGCATGTTGTCCTGCTTCATGTGCCCAGTGAAATTTGGAAGAGAGATACCAATAAAATTTGCAGTAAAATAAACCATGTGAACTCCAAAATAGTAAAAATTTACTTCAGCAATCAAACTCTGCTTACTCAAACTCTTAAGACCTGGGGTGACAGTGCTCACAGCCTAAAGCAACAAGTTTTCATTGTCAGTATTTCAGCACAATATTAAAATAACCCCTCTTTGGAGCACAGCAGTTCAGATCCACTTTCAGATAGTCTAAGAAAAGTCCTGCAGCTGAGCAGTAACATGATATGGATGCAGAGCACGTATTTAAAAAAAATGTGTGATGACTTAGGGTCCTAAGTTCCATTTTCAAATCTCTTAAAATTCCCTCCCTATTTTAAGGCCTGGAAAGAGCAAGCCCTTGTTCAAACACAGAAGGATAGACTAAAATTGTTCACTTGCCTGTGAAGACCCAAGCTGATGGTAGACAGTGAAGAAGGGAGATTTCCAGGTGATAAATTTGCCTGTTGTGGCAGGGACAAGTTGCATAAAAATCTGTAAGTCCAAGTATGACCATGGAGCCCCATATGATCATCTTTAGGTTAATGGGGTTTGCTGACCAGTGTGGAGAGATCTGTAACACAGATATCAGGACTGTTATGAATTAAATATTAATCACAATCTGAAAGCAGCATAAAAAATATCAGAGCAAGGGTTGCAGAGCTGTACTGACACCCAAGGACTCCACCAAACTGTAGAACTGGTAACATTAAAAAGGGTTGTTCCCTTGATGCCAGCAACATCAGGGAACATGGATGTTGTTTGCATCAAGGCTAATTTGGATAGATGATTAATCAGCAGAAGACCTGAGCTCTGGTAGCAAGAGGATGACAGAAAGGGTTGTAGCACACTGTATCTGTTATTTCTCTTCCCACTACCCAACAGAGAGGCAGATTTGTTGTCACGCTGATCCCCAAAATTAATAAACAGGACAACTGACCACAAACTTGCCTAAGAGCCTTGGCAGCTGATGAGCTCTTGGAGGCTGAAGCAAGCAAACTTCTGACCCAAAACTATACCTTCATTGCAGCTGCTGACTCCTAAAGCATGTACAAGACCTGCTCAAATATAGTTTGTCATCACCAGTCATGAGGAAGCCAAGATATTAACAGAGAGCATCCATTTTCTCTCACACACAGAATTCCTGGTTAGGCCACTCAGACACACCTGGGCAGGAGAGTGTGTAAATTTAACAGCTAAGAGTGATCTCAAATAATTATCTTCCCATTTCTCTACAGGGAAATCTCTCACTGAGATTGCACATACCAATTTCTTACAGGCAAGCCCAAATCACAAAACAGCTTC